ACTAAAATGCCGTCATTGTTACATTTATTGTATTTCCTAATTTCGCCTGGTTTGTTGAGTCGAAAGCCAATTAAATTTTACCATTATGGAGGCACGGCAAGGACGTATTTGTGATTATTCCAAATCGAACGTAATTACTACCACCGATGGGAAATTCTATGGAGATTACTTCGAAAATTGGGATCCGCACACTATTATTTAGCCGTTATTATTAAAATGTGCAATTCCTTGTTTGCTGCATGAGCAGCAATTATTTTTTTAATTGCCAGGGATTCAATTATTCGTTTGTTGAAATCGTCAAGGAGAAAAACATGAAGAACAATGCTACGACTTCCTCTTAATTATTAATTGTCCAGGCTTTCCTCGGTCTTTACTTAATGGTTTTTTTACGCAAATGGGAGATCAGACTGATCCGATTTGTCTTGACATCGGCGGAAGATGAGAGCTTCCATTCAGCTCGAAAATCGAATTACCGCGATAAGCTCCGATTGAATCAAATTCAAATAGGCATTACCTTGAGGGCGTGACGTCAGCAAAAGTAGCAAACAGACAAATCAATCAGAAACTGAGATTTTAATCTCATAACAGAATTGAGAAATCTGAGATAAATCTGTATTGTTTGCGTTCTTTGGAGGATTTCTAATTGAGTTGGACGATTATGAGATTTAGAGGAGGTGTTAGAAGTTCGTGATGTTGCCTAAAAATAAGTTCCTTTCCCCTGTTTCAAGTAAAATATAACAATAATTAAATTATCGCACAATACTAACTTAATAACAGGTTATATCTGTGAGTAATACGAAGTGTAGTTAGTTAATGGTAATAATTCAGAATATTTGTGTCGTATTACAGTGACAGTGTTAATGTGTATAACAAATTATTCCAGTTTGCACTTTTGAAATTTTAATGGTTTTCCAGTTTAACCGCAAACTTGTAGCATACTTGGAATATTTCAATCGGGAAGCATTTTTCAGTATTTGTTATTAATCATTCTTCCACACCTGGTGTATGTAGACGGAAACATAAGGAACGAATGATAGAAATTAAGATTTCCTTTTCTCATGCAATGAACATTTAATCCTTGATAAAAATAAATGTGTAAAACATGTTACAAAGTAATAGTGAATCGATTGACTTAGCAAAATATTGAGATGATGTCATCAAATTTTTGGTGGGGTGAAACCGCCCCAAATTACGCTCAGAATTTCACAGTAATCCGGCGACAGAAAGATTTATCTACATTGCAGTCGCCACAGTCATCAAAACTTAGTACTAGACCTGATTCGTCAAAACTACTAAATGGCACGTTCGTATTATCAGACAACGGAATGTGTGTACAAAACGCAGGAATATTGACAAGACACGTGATGTTATCTATTAATCCCACCGCCACGGCATAATCAAGCGTGTCATATAAACCATGGCATTGTGAAAAATTATCTCCATAAAAATAAGGTGAAAGCTAAATTTGTAAATATCAACAGTAACAGAAAATATTAATTACACTCACTTATCTGAGGCTGGAAACAATAAGTGTTGAACGCAATTTAAAATTGAAATGAATTAAACATAATGATTAAAAGTGTGGTAACCATTATATTGTTAGTGGTTTTTTGATTTCCGACATACGATGCATCTTGAGAACTTACACTTGAGTGATTGTGTTACATTGTTAAAGCGGAAAAAATAGGCACATATGGCACAGCAAAAAATGTAAATAATGGTAGCTTTCAACCATTATTATGAGAAGTGTGAGTATGAAGTGCAACCAAATACCGATGTTGTCGAGATATCTCCACGAAAAAATGTAAACATACCTACTTACGCGTACTTGAGTTCGGAAGTGCTCATTAGCTTATTTTAAATTCGGTAAATTGTACGGTTGTTGTATTATTTTGAGGTTGTACACGACGGTCCAAAGTGGAATTATGTAACCGACTTGTTTATTATGTGAAACATTCCGGTGAGTTACAAGTATGAATTGAATGGGAGATTTTCGAAAAATGTGGTTTTTAAACAGTCGTGGAAAATATGGGTTGTATTGCCCATGCACCGTGAAGGTTGCTGGATTAATTTCGATCGTATCGATAATGTCAAGTGTAGGTAATTTATCAAAACAATTATTTTCGTGACAAACACATTACTACATAAAAAATCCTTACCCACTTAATATTTAAGGAATTCGGAAAGAGAACAAAGTTGTAAATATGTAATTTAATAGTGATGAAACTTTACATCCTTGTGACGAATTTGTATTGACGTACACGATTTTGTGTTGTTTGTTGTGACACTTTTTCTTAAAAGATTTTTTTAAATTTCGGAAACTTAGAAAAAATTTGAGTATTTCGGAATTTTTAAATTACTGGGTGAAACGACACCATAATTTCAAACCTATCATTTAGAAAGTAACCTCCAAGCCTTAAAGCTGATTTCATTCATTATGTCATTATGTGTTCACATCTGTTAATTTGTATAATTTTTTTCGCCTTAAATTCTTTTAATTTATTTTTCTAACCATGTTCTTGACAAAAAACTGTTTGGGGATAACTTTTCAAAAGCTCAATTTTTTCAGTACCCGTTATGAAAATTTCGACCTTTTTTCGACCACCTTCAAAAATTATCCAATTATTTTTCCAGGATCGTTAATTGAAATAAGTTAATTTTTGGGAGTTTAAAAGAAATTGAATTTCAAAAGGGATATTTCTAAAATCTTGCCTCTCTTTTTAGTTTCTACATTTTTCCTGTCTGGTAACTATACTATACGATAATTTTTTGGATAACCTTTCATTCTATATATCAAGTGGTGGGGAGTGTAAGTGCACACACTTTTTTGTGCTCTGTGTCTGACCTCTAATTTGGTGAGTCTGTTCTGATTTTTAATCGGGAAAAGGCGCTTGATAGTGATCGGTTTGTATGAGCATTGGTTGTCCCGGTTTTTACCGGGAATATTCCGCTGGTTGCTATACTGCTATAAGGATTTACGATTTAATTTCGTTGTCTCATTCGAATATTTGCTTATCAGCGCTCTTTTTGTCGATTGGCGATAAAATTTCTTTTGATAGGCACGAGGCGGGCGACCAAGGCGCTGGCGTTTTGCTGTACCTTGCTACGCCTTGTACATATTTTTTTTTGTCTGGCAATTTCAATCTATTTGCGTGGTGTTTTATTTGTATAAAAAAAACACATGTATAATTATATTATAGTACAACAAAGGCACAACAGTAGTATAGTAAAATAAATAATACTTGTACTAGCCACTAGTGGTACGACCAATGTTCGTCCTAAGTTAAGGATGGACTTCTGTTGGATTACTATAGCCCATGAAGGTCCTAAACGACACTTGGAATGATTTTTTTTCTTCTGCACTGTTGAATATTATTAATGAATCTTGTTTCGCTACATCTATCAGGTAGTTAATTTCAAAGGTGTTATCAGCCGCGTCATATGTTTCTTTCCTTCAGGAAAAAAGAGAAAAAGGCAGATTGACGGCGACGTCAGTTCTCCCGAAATTTCACCTCTAGTGATAATTCCATTAAAGTAAGTAATACGTGAAAAAAGAAAAAAAACGAGTGACTCCTGAGACAGTTTAACTCCGACTCTTGATTTGCTGTCACCTGCCCAAAACTTACTGAACAACACCGAGCAGTATCCACTGAACTTTGATCAAGTGGTCGGGTTATTGGATAAGGCATCAGGTGTTAGTGATATTCTTACCCTTGTACGTCAATACACAAATGATATTCAAGGATTTATTGTATAACGTTTACCCGATTGTGAATCACAAAAGTATGAAAAATAGATGTCGCAAAATACTTTGAAAAATTAAGTGAGCTTACAATCCAAATAACCTTAATTTGATTGACTTAACTTCAGTCACTCATGAGCACCTCTTGGAGGATGACTTAAGTCCACTCCCTTATCCAGTGCATCTCAGAGATGACTGACGTTTATCAACATCTTTTTATTTTTGATGATTCCAATATGCCTGATATAAAGTGGCCCTTAAACGCCTCTCAGTCTTGTTTTCCATCTTCTCAATTATTAGTCGACCTGTTATCCAATAATCACTTAATTCAGTTGGTAACGCAACCCACCCGGTACAAGATAAATCAAAACCTTTCGACATTGGACTTAATTATCACTATCACTCCACCCCCAAGGCTAATTTCCAGATTTGCACGCTTTCGAAGGAAAGAACAGTGTAACAAGTGCATTATATCAAGTGCACGTGCAATCCCAAAAAGGTCATTGTCGCGAGCTGATTTGTCTCGGCTGTTCATCATGGGCCGAAATTCTTGTTAACGACCCCTTAAAAATCACTTCTTCCGAACCTTCCTAGAAAATCCCAACAAATAGGTTCATATACTTCCTTAGTCCCATCTAGCTATATCCCGTCCTCTCCTTCTCAGGTAGAAGACCAGATAAAAACACGCTACCCGATTAAAGATAACTTAATTTTTCAAAATATTATTTTTTTTTTAACTCACGCCCCAGCCTTGTTAGGCTGGTTACAACAGTCATATATACCAGAGCTGTTATTGACTACAGATCTGTGAATAAGGCCTTCACCGATGTTCACTGGCTGTCGTTGTTCGCTAACCAAACAACGATGACTGTGCTACTGTTGCAGATATCTTCGCAAACACATTTTCTAAAACTGTCATTCTTGAAATTGACAATACGTTACCTAGCGCAATAATACCCAAGCCGAATGTCTCCCTCGATAGTATTGAAGATGTCATTTGTAGTTTGCAGTAAGCGGGGCTGGACGCAATTGTTGCTTCCGTTTTGGCCCACTGCGCCGAATGTCTTTCTCTACCTCAGAGTCTCTTAATGTTACGGCCGTACACGAAGCGAAGCGAAGTGCCAATGGAGTTAGCCATGGCGGAAAATAAAAAAAAAATAGTTGCCATGGAATTTATTTAGTAATTGACAGAAGTTGACACAATGAATTTTAAATTTTCTACATTTAATTATAATAATAATAATATAGTGTGTGTGTGTATAGGGAGTGTTCTGTGTCTTAAAGTACCGCTCCTGCAACATCTTCACCTTCCTGTATTTCATCCGGATCATAGTCGGTGTCGGCGCTGCAAAATATACAATTAGGAGTATTAATTACCTGAGATAGTAACTGTTTTATCTATTAATAGTAAAAGTAACTATTAAAAATAGGTTAGAATTACCCCATTAACTGACTCAAGGCAGTTTCCACACGGGCGAAATCTTTTATGTCTCGTATTGTTAAAATACATACAGCTTGGTTACTCTTTACGTTTAAATGAATTCCACGTTGATGCGGTTGGTTAAAAGGCGTGAACCCATCCAGGCGGGATTTCGTAAATGCGATGATATCTATATCGTCGTCGTCAGGAATTATTGCTATTCTGGTGAGGGATATTTCCAACGCGGCGTAGAATTCCGCATCCTTAAAATGCACCAAAACGTTGCACACTGTCACCATTTTGTTTTGGGGGAGGTTCGGTGTCGGCAGTTGCCGTCGTATTTCTGCCCAATTTATGAGAGGCATGTCACTCTTATCTGAAAATAAGAGATAAGCAGTTTTTTTTTTAAATTTATTCAACTTAGGTGAATTAATTGTATGCGTACCTGTGGCGGCCATATTGTTCTATGCACAGATGCTCTTAATGTTTGGCCCACAATCAATCTTTACTCCTGGCTCACTGTTCAAGCGCATAAGGGTGGTAGGGTTTAGGGTAGTACTGGGTAAGGGTAAGGCTCCGTGACTCATACACATGCGCGTTAAGGCTCCGCCACACAGTCATTAAAAGATGCCAAAATAAGGCAAAAGGCCAACCCATTTTGCGGCTTCATTTTAACAGTTGAAGAGCAGGGCGATACATGTGCGTGCTCATGACATAAAAATCTTTAAGGAAGAGTCTTGTATTTTTTAAAAAACGTAGCAGTTTTTAAAATAAAAAATAAAGTGCGTAAAACCCGAGCGGATTTTTAGCGAAAACTATAACTCGGTGTGCTTTTAAAAAATATCGAGGTGATAGAGAATTTTTTTCTACTTTAGGCGCCATTTTTCGTTTTCTGTTAAAACTTTACTTCTTTTAGTTATTGTAAAAAAACTGCAAAGCATTTTGGACAAATTTTGGTAAGTTAGGCAACCCAAAATATTAGCTGAGGCGGTAAGCTGTAATTTATGGCCCACACAATAGAGCACCTTTTAAATACCTTAAGCTTATTTGACCACCCTTTGAAGTACCTGACAATAGCATTAAGAAGAAGGATATAGGCGAGTAAAATTTTTACAGAAATATGATGACATTTCTACTTTGTTGTTTTGATGTGATTCCCCCTTTTAATTAAATGAATGATATTAATTAAATGGAATTTTATTATTGGAATAAATTTATTCAAGCTATATTAGGGATGTAGGATATGTCTATGACAATATTCCATAATTAAACAATATAACAATATGTGCAGTAAAGCAAATAAAATTGGAGCTATAAATTACTACAATTCCTAAGAGAGGAGTATTTATACTGCACAAATGGAAACGGGTACATACAAACTGGCTGTCGCGGGGAGAGATAGATTTTATGATACCAAAGAATTTTCAAGCAGAAATTTATAGATAGCAAAAAAGTGTAATCGCATTGGGTTTTGTGAGTTTGGTAAACAGAGTGCTGACATCCCTGCCTCTATACACTGCATTTAAATATTAAACAATCACAGGAAAATATCATCATCAATAAAATCATATTAATAAAATAAAAATAATAAAAAAGCAAAGACCCCCTTCAACGCATAAAATTCAACATTTTACACTTATTGCCAAAAAAACTTAACATTTGTCTATAAATCTTTTTTCAATATATATAATATTCTAAATCTACGTTAGTGTAGATGATAAAATAACACCATTTTCTTTTAGTTATATGCAGTGGACCCTGTTATACCTGATACATATAGTTGTGGTTCGGGTTCAAACTAGGTAATTGTAATAACTGCATTTATTGAACAATAAATTAATGATTTTATTTTTAATAGCTCTTTAATATTTTTACTGCAAGCCGCATATGAACATTTAATCTCTGCAATTGAATTAGAATTTATTAACCCATCTGGAGAAGCTCCTAAAAATTTTTTTCAAATTTGTTAGAGCTTTAAATTTTTCTTTGGCCTTTTCTTCATTGTCAATAGCAAATTGTATAGACTTGGGCAATTTTTTCATAAAGTTTTATCGGATGCACAATACTTTTAACGGTATTTGCGGTGTTAATTCCGTCTCTCATTTTGTCCGTTCTTTACTCCATTCCCTACACATTCGCTGACCACAAGTACCTTTTTCAATAGCGTTTACGTTACTCTGTGACAGCTTTATTAATAAATCCGATTTTTTTCTTTCATACACTTCAGGTAATATATCTGCAGTTTTCGTTTGTTCATCGTCGACGATATTATTTTTGCCGGAATCCGTACTTCGGATACGCAATTTTTTAACAGAGGTTTTAGTTTTATTAATCGTTTTTTTTTTTTTCAATTTTTGTTCCACAAACGCCTTCGTATACTAACATTGGCCTCCCCAATTTTTTTTTTTTGAATAACGGAGTTAGGAACGTACCCTTATTTTATAACTTATTGCCGCAGCAAAGCATCACCCTTGATACGATCCTCGTGCAAAAACGTATTCTTTTTCCTCCCACAAATTTATTAACGACAGAATTGTAGCATTCCACAGCATTGTTCACAATATCAAAAAGTAAACTAGACGACAAAGTTGCAATTCTATTTAAAACTTGTTTGTAAGGTTCGTATAAAACACCATTTGCGAAAATAGAAAATAAAATATCATTTGACTGTCCACTTTTATAACAAAAATAGCTTGCACATTGTTCGTGATTCCCAAATATATGCTGGAAAAAAAAGGAAGAGGCTCATTTTTGCTAAATTTAATAGCACTTATAATAGCTGTACTAAATTTTAGAATACTATTTTTAAAAACATTTTTAATAGTGATACCTGCTTTCGTTGTTTTAACTATTTCTCTAATTTTGGAACAATAATTACGAAGTATGTGATTTCTACATTCGATTTTTTCTATAAAATAATATGCACCATTTGGTTTTGCAGCCCGAACATTTTTTAATACGCTACTGTCCTCGTCGCCTATAATTCTCCTATAAAGTATCTAAAGTAAATCCCTCTAAGATAATTGAAGCTTTCATGGACATAGATGTTTGCTCCTAGTTTTTAAAACAATTATGTGTTGGAATTTCTTTTTACTATTTCATATAGATTTTACAGAAACTACAAAGTTTGTTTTTGACTCCAACATAAAGTATTTTTTTAGTCCTGGCACCAATTATACATCCTACCCCAGACAGTGCATTGTAATTAGATTTGTAAGAGCATTTGCTCCAAGCTCCATCGACAATAACGGTAATATATGGGACGCAATCATTATCTACCTTCCTCGCCTTCACAGCTAATCGGTACTCTTCTTTACCTGCGTTTTGGTCTGTTCTTCGAAAAGTGCTTGGATGCTCTTTAGAACTCTACCCTCGGCTTTACGATATGTCGCCTGGGGTATTTGAGGGATATCTAGAGCTGAACAAAATTCTGAAATTTGAGAATAACCTACGCCCGTTGATCTAGCTCCACAAATAGCTGCATAATTGACTTTGTATATATGATTTTCAGGTTCAGTACAAAGATTACCGAATATTCCGTAAATGACATTTATAGTAGAAAACACTTTTTAAACCATAACAATTTTCATTAGTTATTTCAATATTATCTAAAGTACTGATTGATTTCAGTGTTGTTAATAAGTGGCCTATGTCAACAATTCTACGTCCACTACTAATTTCTCGACATGTCATGACCTCTAGAGTACGAAAAAAGTGGTCTCCCGTTTCCGTATGTCGGTCTGTCTGTCTGTCTGGTGTCTGTATCAATTTTTTATTAGACAAGTGTTCTCCGAAACTACTGGATCGATTATTTGCATATTTTATATGTATATTAGAAATATCATGTAGATAGTTAAAAGCTAACTAAAATTTGGCAAATCATCTCCACCACCAATGGGATGACGTTATCTCCAAAATTTATAATACCAAGTTTTTTAAATTTGATAAAATTAGATACTCCTGCACTTGTGGTGTATAAATCCGTGTAGAATTTTCACCCTAGACATCTAGAATTTTTGGAAAAAAATTTAACTTATCCGGGTTGTCATAAAAAAATAAAATTCGCATAATCAAATTTTATCATTTTTCGAAAAAGCTGGATTTGTTTTATTGTATTTCCGAGGTGAGAGAAGTTCTGTCGAAATAACCTTCGACCAATTTGTTTCATTCAAAATACATTCCGAGAGGTAACTAGGTATGTACCTACCTAAATTTCTAAGATTTTGGGTTGAAAAATTTCAAGATTACTAAGAAATACTCACAATAACGTACTTTCGTACCTACAATAAAATATTCTTGGAAATTTAATTTTACTTTTCTACCTACTTACAGAATATGCCCAACACGTACGAATTTTTATGGAAACAGGAATTTAAAAATAAGAGGAAGAATTATGGTCGGAATTATATATACGAACAAGCATTTTTTTGTTGTGTGTATTGCGAGTAAAGATCTCAACAGTCTCTGACAATGATTTTATTAATTTATTTTAAAACACACATCTGGCTTTTTTCTTTTCTTATGACAGTAAATTAGGTTAAACCGCATATCAAAAATTCTCTTTCAAGGGACTTTATGCTAAAAAAAGGTAGGAGGTGCTATTTAAAAAATTATCGATGACGTCATACACCTGTCAAATATCGCTCAAAACTTTTGAAACTAATATTACAAAATGGCAATTTTTATATACCAGTAGACGTGTTTTTGCGTTTTTACTTCTCGAACGTAAGCTAAGAAATATTTTAGTTCCTTACTCTGCTCTACCTGCAAGCTGGGATACACTTCCCCCGCTGACAATAGCAGTAATAAAACTAGTTACTTATTGTAAACGAAGTAAACGATTTTAACCCTTAGAGATGAGTGGCAGCTGTCATAACGAGGTAACATGGGTGTTTTACAAGTTGCATATCTTTTAAAATAGAAATTTTCTTGAGGTGTGGTAGAGCCTTAAGAATGGGCACTGCGAACGGATCGTTCATTCGACATTAGACTTAATTATCACTAGTGACGACAACTCTCTGGCCCATTTGGAATACCTTGATCCTGTCGGAAAGTCAGATCACTCCACCCTCAAGGCTAATTTCCAGATGTGCACGCTTTCGAAGGAAAGAACAGTCATATACCAGAGCTGTTATTGACTACAGATCTGTGAATAAGGCCTTCACCGATGTTCACTGGCTGTCGTTGTTCGCTAACCAAACAACGATGACTGTGCTACTGTTGCAAATATCTTGGCAGACACATTTTCTAAAACTTTCACTCTTGAAATTGACAATACGTTACCTAGTGCAATAATACCCAAGCCGAATGTCTCCCTCGAG